ATTGAGGTTGTAAAGGATGTTGGTGAGGTCTCTTCTGGAGTACTATGACCAGTCCTGGTTGCCCTGTTATAGGAAGGACATTATTAAGCTGGAGCGGGTTCAGAAGAGATTTACCAGGTAGCTGCTGGAAACAGACGGATTGAGTTATGCGGAGAAACTGAATAGGCTAGGACTTCTTTCACAGGAGTGTAAGAGTTTGAGGTTGACCTAACAGAGGTTTATAAAATCCTTAGGGTTATAGAATGACAGGTGTCTGTTACCAAGGTGGGGATTTCAAGACAAGGGGCATACCTTTAATCAAATTGAATTAGCTTTATTGTCACACATACTCACATGAGTAAAGTGAAAAGTTTACAAATCGCCACTTACAGCACTGTCTCGGGTACAAAGGTACCTAGGTACAGCACTACTAGGCCCTACTATTAATTGTACAAGTCCTTCCCTTGAGGAGTAGAGATAAGGTATATCTTCCCCAGGGGGTGGAATTTCAAGACTGGAGGGCATATTTTTTTAAAGTAAAAGAAGAAAAGCAAAGACATGAGGGACAACACTTTTTTGTACACAGGGAGTTGTTCCTGTGTGGAATGAACTTCCAGAGGAAGCGGTCGATGCAGCTACAGTTACAATGTTTAAAAGACATTTGGATAGGTACATGAATTAGAAATGTTAAGAGGGATATGGGCCAAGTGCAGGCAGATAGGACTAGTTAAGTTTCGGAACAAGGTTGGCATGGACTAGTGGGACCAAGGGGTCAGTTTCCATGCTGTATGACTCTATGATTGAAACCTACAAAATACTGAGAGGCCTGGATAGATGGATGTGGAAAAGATGTTACAACTAGTAGGAGAGACTAGAACCAGAGGGCATCGCCTCGCAGTGAAGGGAAAACCCTTTAGAACTGAGTTGAGGAGGAGTTTCTTCAGCCAGAGGGTGGTGATTCTGTGGAGATCATTGCCGCAGAGGGCTGTGGAGTGTATTTTTAACACAGATAGATAGGTTCTTCATTTGTGAGGGAATCAATGGTACAGGAGAAGGCAGAAGGCAGGAGAATGGGGTATAGAAACATATCAGCCATGATCAAATGGTGGAGCAGACACGATGGGCCGAATGGCTTAATTCTGCTCCTGTATCTTGTGGTGTTATGGTTATTGTGGGAGACTTCAGTCTGCGCACAGATTGAGCAAATCAAATCAGTAACAATAGCATTGAGGTGAAATTCCGAGAATGTGTATGAGACGGTTTTCTGGATCAATACATTGAGGACCCAAATGGAGATAGGCCAGCTCGAATGCATATTGTGTAATGGCCGGGAGTGGGTTAGCTCACTTGGCTGGATGGTGATTTACGAGTCGCGATTCAGTTTGACGCCAACAGCACATGCTCAATTCATGTACAGCCCAAGGTCACCATAAAGGTGCTATATTCCTAACCTTACCTCTTGCCTGAGGCACAGTGACTCTCAGGTTAAAACACATTAGCCTTCTCTCTGTCCCTGAGACTATGACAACTTGAATATCAAATTTTTAATTGTGTAATGAGAAGGGAATAATTGGCAATCTTGCTGTATGAGACCCCTTATGGGAGGATGAAGAACTCAGTGATAGAACTCCTCGTTAAGATGGAGTGTGACAAAGTTGATTCTGAGACAAGGGGCCAAAACCTAAATAGAGGAAAATACGACAGTATGAGGCGTGAATAAATTGGGGAATATAACTTTAAAGGAATAACAAACATTTAAAGAGCACATGGAGGAACTTCAACTGTTGTTAATTCCTGTCAGACACAGAATAAACCAGGAAAGGTGACCCTGCCGTGACTAACCAGGGATATTAGGGATAGTACTGGATCCATGGAAGAGGCTATGAATTGGCAAAAAAAGAGCAGCAGGTCTGAAGACTGGGAGCTGTTCAGATTTCAGCACGAGAGGTCTAAGGGATTGATTAAGAGGGGGAAAATAAAGTGTAAGAATAAGCTTACAGGGTACATACAAACTAATTGTAAAAACTCCTAAAAGTATATGTCGAGAAGCACAGACTAATGAAAACAAATCCCTTACAATCAGAAACAGGGGAAGTTAATATGTGGAATAAAGAGATGGCAAACTAATTAACTACATATTTTGGTTCTGTCATCACAAAGGATGACACAAATAATATCCCTAAAATGCTGGGAACACATCAGTGGCAGGAACTGAATGGTATCGGTATTAGTAGGGAAATGGTATTGGAGAAATCCATGAGATTAAAAGCCAACAAATCCCGGCACCTGGTAATCTACAGCCCAGAGTACTTAAAGTGGCCTGAGATACAATGGATACATTCTGAAACTAGGGGCCTGAATCTAAATAGAGGAAATTGATGGTCATCTTTCAAGATTCCCTCGACTCTGAAACAATTACGATGGATTGGAGGATAATGAAGATAACCTCACTATTTAAAAGAAAGGTGGAGAGAAAACATGGAATGACAGACCAGTTCACCTAACACCGCAAAACAGTGACAGGACTGGACAGAGTCAGTCAGCGTGAATTTACCAAAGGGAAATCACGCAGGACAAATCTGCTGGAATGTAAGCATGCAGGTGCTGCAGAAGGTGAAGAAAGCGATTGGTATTTTGAACTTCATAGCGAAAGGATTTGAGTGCAGGAGCAGGGATGTCTTGCTGAAATTGTATAGGATCTTAGTGAGACCACACCTGGAGTACTGTGTGCAGATTTGGAATCCTTACCTGAGGGAGGATGTTCTGGCTATGGAGGGTATTCACAACAGTTCACCAGACTGATTCCTGGGATGGCAGGACAGACGTATGAGGACAGAATGGATTGGTTAGGATGAAATTCACTGGCGTTTAGAAGAATGAGGGAAGATCTCACAGAGACCAATAAAATTCTAACAGGGCTAACATGGTAAATGCAAGAAGGATGATATCTATGGCGAGGAGTCCAGAAACAGAGAGTCACAGTTTAAGGGAAAGGGCTGTGCTGTTTAGGATTGAGACGAGGAAACATTTCTTGACACAGAGACTGGTGACCCTGTGAAATTTGCTGTCACAGAAAGCAGATAAGGTCAAAACATTGAATGTTTCCAAGAAGAAGAATATGTATAGTTGTGAGGGCTTAAAGGATCAAAGGGAATGGATCTGAAGTGGGAACAGGCTACTGAGTTGAATGGTCAGCCATAATCAAACTGATTAGCGGATCAGGACCAGAATCCAAAATGACCTAAACATGTTCCTATTTTCTATGTTTCTATTCTGATGAAGGTGGGATATAAAAACAAAATGATTATGTCTGACACAGATATCAGCACAACCTTATCGCTACTGGATGAAAATCCTGTAATTCCTTACCAAACAGCAATCTGGGAGCATCTTCACCACGCGGACTGCAGCAGTTCAAGAAGATGCAGAGTAATTTTGGAAGCTTCTGGAGTGGCTGCTGTGTCTCTTATTTTCTATCCAGTTGTCAAGTTGTTGAATGTGCTGAGAAAAACAACACAGTATGTCGGAAATGTCTTTGGAAGTTTGCTGATACTGGGGGAAGCAAGAGGTGGGATGGGTGGGAAAGGGGAGCAATGAGAGAAACAATGGGCTGGGATTTGTGGTGGGGTGATGGGAGAAGAATTACCCCAATATTCAAACCACACGCCCCCACCCTGCTCGGTTCTTTCCCTCCACTCTGTGGTCTTTCTCCCAGCCTCTTTCACACTGGCAGCCAGCTCAGTGTCAAAGGCGCTCATGTGGACACTTTTCCATCAGACTCGGTCACTAGCACATGCACAAGCATCTCCCAACAGCATACTGCACATACTCCTCAGGTGAATGCAGCAATGATTAACACCAATAACCTTTGTTTCCAGCCCCATTCGGACCAAAGACAGACATACAAAGAGTCATCGTATAAATTTTCAAAAATCAAAACAAAACTGACCAGATTACTTGAGCAGTTTCCATGATGCGTTGCTTCACAGGTACACAGGATTGTCAAACCTTTGTGCTGTCACATCAACAGCCTTTTCTCAGAAAGCCCCAGTTCTAAAGAACTCTGGCACTTACTTCTATTTGACCATGTTCTCTCCCAGACTTGCTGGTACCAGTTCCCAGATACTGTCTTCATTAATGACCAAAGTAGTCTACAGAGTTTTGCTCAAGAAACAACCTGCAATTAACTTCCAGGCCTGGCCTCAGCAACAAACTATAGCTTTTATATTCTTTTTTAACACAGCTGCTGCTCACAGTCCAGAGGTCACTGTTCAGCTCTCAGATTCAAACCAAAAATGTTTTTTTTTAAATCTCAGCAAAAGTTCTAATACAGTACACAGCGGAAAGACCTTTAACCAGTGACACAGACTGGGTGAGTGGAACACTACGCATTGGAGTTTTGCTTTAATGAGATCATCTGCCATTGCTGCAATCAGATTCTGAAGTGGTTTGACAGGTTAAATGCTGACAGGATTGGCCCTCTCATTGGCTAATCTCCGTCTAAAAAGCATAGTCTCAGAATAATCCAAAGTTGAATTGAAGAGAGTTTTCATCTCAGAGGGCTGAGTGTCTTTGGAACTTCTTGCCACATAGAGCTGACAGGGCAGAGTCCTTGTGTATTTTTAAGGCAGAGATAGGTAGATTCTTGATCAATAGGGGAATTAAAGGTTACACGAAAAATGCTGGAAAAGTGGGCATCAGGAATGTCAGATCAGCCGCAATCCTATTAAATGGCAGAACAGGCCCAAGGGACTAAATGGCCTACTCCTGTTCCTATTACATATGGTCTTCCAGTAGACTGTAGAAAGATTCGTAACCAATTACACAGACTGAGTGAGTGTTCCAGTGAATTGACGGTGGAAAGAGCTTTAACATAGACTGAAATAAAAATCTCACCGTTGACAGGAACTATATGGATGTTCTGTCTATTGGATTAAAATTTACCTAATCACCCAGCCAGGAGAGACAACAGATACCCACCCTATGGAGATACTGTGGAAATATCAGGACAATGACAGTGAATCAGTTCCCCACCTGAGCTGGCCACCCAATGGTGCAGCCACACCGGGGACAGGCCATTCCCCTGCTCCATGTGCAGGAAGGATTCAGACAACCAGCTGCTGAGACACCTGTAAACTTGTACGGGGTTACAGGAGTTGGATTCTGGTAGGATTACTGCTTTTTATCACATCCAGCTTCATCTGACCTTCGTATTGCACTTTTACCACAGTAAACCCTCCCACCAGGACTAATAAAACAAAACTACAGAACCCCAGACAGAGACATTGGGGCAGACTGGGGACAGAAGGAATAAGAATTGGGGCTGGGAGAAGGAGCCGGGGGAGGGGCAACACGGGACCCCGCCGTCACTGCTACGTCACCATGCTAACCGCGCCTGCGCACTTCCCACTAAACCAAGATGCGGGGGCGTCGGCATTGGCCCGCGGCCTGTTTCAGGGAAGAAGTCTTAGGGTCTCTACAGCGAAACGGGAAATGCCCTGTTTGGGCAATCATGCAACTGTCTTGCTGGCGTATAGCACCAACACTGCCCTTCTCTCTAACCTTTACTCACCGTTTGCGGATGTCATGGAGGAACATTTCATTCCTTTCATTGCTCCCGGCACGCATGCTCACAATCACAATTAGCTGTGCGCATGCTCCAGTAGCTTGCACGCCGGTTTGATGTCGTCTAACAACCAATAGAAACCGGCAAGGGATGGGACTGGAACACGGCAACGGAATTGCTTGTCCACTCAGAGGACAAAGGGCAGGGCAGCCCCCAGGAACATCCATTGAGTGGATGGATGGGGCGGGATAATCTTCCAACCAATCAGAGAGACACAGGGGCGGGGCTGGATTTCGAGCGTCCACCGGCGAAGGTGGGGGGGCGGGGTTACAGCTCCAACCAATCAATGAACCAGAAGGCGGGTCTGACAAGGTGAACAGAGCATGCACCGTAGGCGTGCTGCAGGCCAGTGGGAGAATTATTTCTGAGAGAACAAGGTGTAGATCTGGATGAACACAGCAGGCCAAGCATCATCAGAGGAGCAGGAAAGCTGACGTTTCGGGCCTGGACCCTTCTTCAGAAATGGGGAAGGGGAAGGGGAAGGGGAAGGGGGATCTGAAATAAATAGGAAGAGAGGGGGAGGCGGATAGAAGATGGATAGAGGAAAAGATAGGTGGAGAGGAGACAGACAGGTCAAAGAGGCGGGGATGGAGCCAGTAAAGGTGAGTGGAGGTGGGGAGGTAGGGAGGAGATAGGTCAGTCCAGAGAGGACGGACAGATCAAGGGGGTGGAATGAGGTTAGTAGGTCGGAGATGGGGGTGGGGCTTGAGGTGGGAGGAGGGGATAGGTGGGAGGAAGGACAGGTTAGGGAGGCGGGGACGAGCTGGGCTGGTTTTGGGATAACAAGGTGTAGAGCTGGATGAACACAGCAGGCCAAACAGCATCATAGGAACAGGAAGGCTGACGTTTCGGGCCTAGACCCTTCATCAGAAAAGGTTTTGGGATGCGGTAGGGGGAGGGGAGATTTTGAAGCTTGTGAAGTCCACATTGATACCATTGGGCTGCAGGGTTCCCAAACGGAATATGAGTTGTTGCTCCTGCAACCTTAGGGTGGCATCAGTGTGGCACTGCAGGAGGCCAAGGATGGACATGTCGTCTGCGGAATAGGAGGGGTAGTTGAAATGGTTCGCGACTGGAAGGTGCAATTGTTCAGAGCGAATCGAGCGTAGGTGTTCTGCAAAGCGGTCCCCGAGCCTCCGCTTGGTTTCCCCGATGTAGAGGAGGCCACAACGGGAACAGCAGATGCAGTATACCACGTTAGCAGATGTGCAGGTGAACATCTGCTTGATGTGGAAAGTCTTCTTGGGGCCTCGGATGGGGGTGAGGGGGGGAGGTGAGGGGCAGGTGCAGCACTTCCGCGGTTGCAGGGAAATCTGCTGGGTGAGGTGGGGCTGGAGGGGAGTGTGGAGCAGACAAGGGAGTCACAGAGAGAGTTGTCCCTCCGGAAAGCAGGTAAGGGTGGTGAGGGAGAGATGTCTTTGGTGGTGGGGTCAGATTGCAGATGGCGGAAATATCGGAGGATGATGTGTTGGATCCGGAGGTTGGTGGGGTGGTACGTGAGGACGAGGGGGATTCTGTTTTGATTGTTATTGCGTGGAGAGGGTGTGAGGGATGAGTTGCGGGAAATGCGGGAGACACGGTCGAGGGCGTTCTCGACCACTGACAGGGGGAGGTTGCGGTCCTTGCAAAACAAGGACATCTGAGATGTACGGGAGTGGAATGCCTCATCCTGGGAGCAGATGCAGTGGAGGCGAAGGAATTGGGAATAGGGGGTGGCTGTCCATTCGTTTTACAACCCATTCAATGGGAAGGATTTCCAGATCTTCAGTCCCAACTAGAAAATCACAGCAAAGTCTACCAGAGTCACCCTTTTTAGCAGCATTGCAGTGTCATCAGTCTTTCGCCGTGCATTCAAGGTAAAATGTTTGTCTGCAGTGTCTGTGGGAAAAGATTTCTGCGATCAGTGTCACCGGAAAGGTTCTAAGAAATTCGAAACCGTGTGCAGAGCAGCCCCGGAGGATGAGTCTGGGTATCACAATTTAGGAAGGAGAGCCTGGACCTTCCTCGGGGTCAGTGCAGGTTTACTCCAATGATTCCTGGTTTTTATTATGAGCAACGGTTGCAGGAATCAGTCTTAGATTCATTGTGAACGGAATAATTTAGCTCATTTCATCAATACCAACTTTCTGTACAGAAATGCAATCTCTCAATTTCCCCTGCTCCTTGCCCAAAGTTTATTTCACTTAAATGATGATCTAATTTTCTTTATGATGCCATTGATTCTCTTTGTTTCCACCCGTAAGGAGAGAGGACTGTATAGTTCCTTTCATTCTGGGGGGCGGGAGGTGGGGGGATTATTCCTCTTGTATCTATTGCTGGATAGCTCAGTTTGGGAATGTATTAGCCGGAGATAAAATCTCCATCTGCCGGTCCTCAGCCCATTGACCCATTATTTGTCGTCAAGTAAGCGAATCAGCTGTATCCTTTATTATTGCAAGAATTGAATGTAAATGTAAAGATATCTGCTTCATTTGTAAAGAGATTTGCTGAGATATGGGTGACTTTAATCTGCACATAAATTGAGCAAATCAAATTTGTAGCAATATGACACAGGAGGCATTCTTAGCATGTATATGGAACAGTTTTAAGAATCAATATAGCGAGGAAGCAACTGGGTATTTCCTAACGAGAAAGGAATTCTCATTAGGGTGGCATTGTGGCTCAGTGGTTAGCACTGTTGCCTCACAGCGCCAGGAACCCGGTTTCAATTCCAGCCTCAGGCGACTGTCTGTATGGAGTTTGCACGTTCTCCCCGTGTCTGCATGGGTGTCCTCTGGGCACTCTGGTTTCCTCCCACAGTCCAAAGATGTGCTGACTAACTGGATTGACCATGCTAAATTGCCAATAGTGTTCAGGGAGGTGTAGTTTAGGGGATGGGTCTGGGTGGGAGGTTCTGAGAGTCGGTGTAGACTTGTTGGACCAAAGGGCCTGTTTCCACACTGTAGGGATTCTATGATCTATGAATAATTGATAATAATTTTGAGCATGGGCCCGTAGGAAAGAGTGACCACAATAAGATAGAATTCTTCATTAAGATGGAGAGTGATGTCATTCTTTCTGAGACTAGAGTTCTGTCATTAAATAAAGAAAATTGGAATGACGAGAGGTGTGAGCTAGCTGTAATAAATCATGGATCAGTATTTACATGGGTTTTGTGAGATTGTCTTTCAATGTTTGCCATGATCTATGTTCAAAAGTTATTTATCCCAGTCTGGCATAAGAACAATGTAGGAACCATGGCAAAAAAGGGAAATGATGGTTAGTATTAAATTTGCTAAATAAATCAACACACCTGAGGATTGAGAACAGTTTAGAACTCAACAAAGGGAGACAAAGAGATTGATTAAAAGGCAGAAAATAGAGTATGATAGTATGCTTGCAATGACCACACAAATCAATAGTTTTCTTTTATTCATTCACAGAATGCGGACATCGCTGGCTAAGCCAAAATATATCGTCCATCTATGATTGCTAAGAGGGCTGTCAAGAGTCAACTGCATTGCTGTTGGGTTAGAATCACATGTAGGCCAGAGGAGGTAAGCATGACATTCTTTCCCACGAAGGACATCAGTGAACCAGATGGGATTTTCCTGGCGATTAATGCTTTCATGATCAATATTAAACTCTTAATTCAAGATTGATAGTAAAGCGTTAATAAAAATGAACTCAGGTTCTCCTACAATCGGAAACAGAGGAATTTAAAAAATGGAGTACAAAGTGATGGCAGACGAACTAAATACACCCTCCTATCTTCAAAAAGGAGAACACAAATAACATCCCCAAAATAAGAGGAAATCACAGGGTTAAATGGGAAGGTAGAATTGAAAGAAATTAGTATTGGCAGTCAAATGATATTGGGTAAAATAACGGGATTAACGCAGATGACTCCCCAGGAATTGATAACCTTCATCCCAGTGTACCTCAGAAAGCGGCCCGAGAAATAAGAGATGCACTCGTATTATCTTCCAAAATTGTACAGACTCTGAAAGAGTTCCTGATGATTTGAGTGTAGCTAAAGTAACCCTAGTATTTAGGAAAGAGGCAGAGAAAATGGGGAATTTGTATGATGCTGGTTGTGGGAAAAATGTTACAGTCCACTCTAAAAGGAGTATTAACAGAGTACTTGGAAGATAGTAACAAGATCAGACAGAGTTAGCAGGGTGTTTTTCTGTGCTGTAGATCTTTGAGATTCTTTGTTGGGCATGAATTCCCTCCAAGCCACTTGCCATCCTGACTTGGAAATATATCACTGTTCCTTCACTGTTGTTGGGTCAAAACCTTGAAATCCCTCCATAACAACATTGTGGATCGACCGACAGCCCATGGACTGCAGTGGTTCAAGAAGGCAGGTCAGCATCTTCATAAAGGTCACTAGGGCCACCCTGTGATGCACACATTCCATGATCAAATTTTGAAAAAAAGACATTTTTTAATTGAATCCTAAATGGATCTGCTATGACCTTTTGGAGGCTCGACGAGCCAAATGACTACTTCTGCTCCTATTTCGTATGTTCTCTACCCTTTTACCAAAATGCATCATCTCATGAAGAATGTTGTATTCCCTGGAATTACAGAAGATTGAGGCATGATTTGATTAAAAATTAAGGTGTTAATGAAGCTGGTCGGGGAGATAGAGATGGAAATATTTCCACTGGGTGGGTGAATTGGGAACTCAAACACTCTCCTCACCCGCAGGAATTAGATAAGACTCGAGTTTCTTTGTTCGCTGATTTATTCCAACGTACGTCTGAGGAAAAAGAGTAGGCGATTCGTCCCTTTGAGCCTGCTATGCCACTCAATATAATCGTGACTGATCTGATTTCAACCTCAACTCTATGTACCTGCATATCCCCAACAATTATTCATCATCTTGATCATCAAGAATCTATCTGCCTCTGCCTTAAAAATATTTAATGATTCAGCAACTACTGCCTTTTGAGGAAGTGAATTCCAAAGACTGTCAACCCTCTGAGTGAGAAGAAGTGTTTCCTCGTTTCTGTTTTAAATGGGCTCACTCTTATATTTAAACTATGATCCCTATTTCAAGATTGTCCCCTAAGAGCAAACATTTTTTTCAGCATCCGCCTGGTCAGGTCCCCTCAGTATGTATTGACAACTGTCCTTAAGTATGCTAGCCAGTACTGTATATAGTTCTCCATGTGCAGTCTCACCAGTACGTAAGGGGGGATTGCATGTACCTGGAGGTGGTTCGTGAATTTCTGCTTGCCTGCAGTAATGCTTTTCCAACAAGCCTAGGTTATTCACAGAGGACTGGAAAATCGCTAACGTGGCAACTCTGTTTAAAAAGGGAGTGAGGCAAAAGACGGAAAATTACAGGCCGATTAGCCTAACCTCGGTAGTGGGCAAGATTTTGGAGTCCATTGTAAAGGATGACATTTCTGAATATTTGGAAGTGTATAGTATGATAGGGCAAAGTCAGCATGGTTTCGTCAAGTGGAGGTCATGCCTGCCAAATCTGCTAGAATTCTTTGAGGAAGTAACGAACAGGGTAGATCAAGGAGAGCCAATGGATGTTATCTACCTCGACTTCAAGAAGGCCTTTGATAAGGTGCCACACAGGAAGCTGCTGAGTAAGATAAGGGCCCACGGTGTTAGAGGCAAGGTGCTAGCATGGATAGAAGATTGGCTGTCTGGCAGAAAGCAGAGAATAGAGATAAAGGGGTCTTTCTCGGGATGGCAGCTGGTGACAAGTGGTATTGCGCAGGAGCCGGTGCTGGGACAACAACTTTTCACTTTGTACATTAATGATGTAGTTGAAGGAACTGTGGGCATTCTGGCTAAGTTTGCAGACGATACAAAGGCAGGTGGAGGGACAGGTAGTGTTCAGGAAGTGGCGAGGCTGCAGAAGGACTTAGAAAGGTTAGGAGAGTGGGCAAAGAAATGGCAGATGAGTACAATGTGGGAAAGTGTGAGGTCAAACACTTTAGTAAGCAGAACAAAAGCATGGACTATTTTCTAAATGGGGAGAAAATTCAGAAATCTGAAGTACCAAGAGACTTGGGAGTTCTAGTCCAGGATTCTCTGAAGGTAAACTTGCAGGTTGAGTCAGTTGTCAGGAAGGCAAATGCAATGTTGGCATTTATTTTTGAGAGGACTTGAATTTTAAAGCAGAGATGTACTACTGAAGCTTTATAAGACTCTGGTCAGGCCACATTTGGAGTATCGCATGCAGTTTTGGGACCCATATCTCAGGAAGGATGTATTGGCCCTGGAGTGGGTTCAGAGGAGGTTCATGAGAATGGTCCCAGGAATGGAAAGCTGAACATATGAGGAACGTTTGAGGACTCTGGGACTTTACTCATTGGAGTTTAGAAGGATGAGAGGGGATCTAATTGAAATTTTCAAAATGTTGAATGGCCTGGACAAAGTGGACGTTGGGAAGATGCTTCCATTGGTAGGAGAGTCTAGGACCCGAGGGCACAGCCTTAGAGTAAAGGGGAGATCTTTCAGAACGGAGATGAGGAGAAACGTCTTCAGCCAGAGACTGGTGAATCTGTGGAATTCACTGCCACAGAAGGCTGTGGAGGCCAGGTCATTGAGTACATTTAAGACTGAGATAGCTAGCTTCTTGATTATCATGGGGATCAAGGGTTACGGGGAGAAAGCGGGAAAATGGGGTTGAGGAACTCATCAGCCATGATTGAATGGCAGAGCAGACTCGATAGGCCGAATGGCCTAATTTCTGCTCCTAAGTCTTATGGTCTCAATTTTCAACTGACAAAGACTATGGTCAGCCAGTTGTACCGTTTATCTTGTTACACAGACAGCATTGTGTGGCATCACTCGAACCTCAAACTCTGCTGGCTCTGCAGAAATTCCTGCAGACTGTTCCCAGTTTGTCTGGTTTGCCTGGTTTGTCCTTTAGTTTTCGACTTCTGCCCTGTCAATTAATGATCAGGTGAGTTTTTATGACAATCCAGCAGATTTCATTCCAGTTCTTCCTGTTTTCAATTTATTTTACAGAAAGTTCAAATTAAACATGACATCAAGAGCTGCCAGCAATGCTTGATTCTCAGGAGCTGAATATCACCAGCCTTTGAACATGGAAGGAAAAAGCATCATTCACAGTGAAGAGAAACCATACACATGGTCTGTGTGGACAAGGTTTCAGTCAGTCATCAGGCCTGTTAAGACATAATTGCAATCACAACAAGGAGACAACAATTACATCAAGCAGCAGTTGTTTTGCAATGTTATGCTCATGAATTTCAGTTTCAGTTAAGCAACAGTCACTCAGCTCCAAATCTCCTTACTCTGAACCAAATCCACCTGTAAGCTCAGAGGGAGAGAGAGGGGGGACAGAGGGAGAGTGAGAGGGCGACAGGGGAGAGAGCGAGAAGGGAAAAGAAGAAGCGATCGAGAGACGGAGAGAGCGATTTAGAGGGAGAAAGTGAGAAATTAAGGGCTAGGGAATAAGGGATGGCAAAGGTGGAGAGAGAGGGTGACAGAGGTGGAGAGAGAGGGGGGTCAGAGAGGCAGAGGGAGAGAGATAGAGAGGGGGAGAGAGGGAAGAAAAATGGTAGAGTGAGGGGGACAGTGGGAGTGAGAGGCACAGAGACAGAGAGAGGGAGAGAGAGAGGGGCACACACAGAGTGAGGGTGACAGTGAGAGAGAGACAATGTCAGAGTGAGTGAGAAGGAGACAGAGGGGCAGAGACAGGGACGGTGGGAGTGGAGAGAGAGAGAGTTGGAAAGGATGACAGAGGCGGGGGAACGGAGAGAGGGACAGGAACAGAGGGAGAAGGAGAAGGGAA